TTGGTTTTGCTGATGAGATCAATCTGATTTTCTGTACAACAAAGAAACAACTGTGTGTTTGACTTTCAACTACTGAAGCGGAGTACGATGCAACTTGTAGTGCTGCTTGTGAAGGAATTTGGTTGAAATATCACTTCATTAGAAAAATACGTAATTAGCGGAGAAACAGAGCTAAGGTATGTGGAATCGAATAGACAAGAAGCAGAAATACTGACGAAAGGACTAACAAGAGATGTATGTTTTTAGAGCTCCAAAATCTATTAGGATTTAATGATGGACTTTCTATTTAGGCAGGGTGTTGAGGAATGAATATGAAAACATGATTCAGTTTAGTTGATTTATACTCTTATTCATATAGTTGTATGTAGTTGCTATTATGTTGATATTAAAAAACAGTTTCGCCAATAAATGTAACAGGGAATATTTCACTTTCATTATTTGAGAAAAGTGATTACTTAATTACAAAGTTCTGAGGTGTAACAAAGGAATCATACTTGTTTCCAATTGAGGCATTATTCACAAGTGAGTATATTTTTGAGTTTTGTGTGATTATTTTTATCATCTATATGATGCTATGTATAGAAACTTCTTTTTTTCTTTGATTATTTAATTTGTAGGTAAAATTTATGAACACAAGTTACCGACTAATTAGACTCTTCAGCAGTTTATATTGAAGAGTAACTTTTCAGTTTGTCCTTTATTGGACTTCAGCAGATTCTCTATTGATTTAGCTTTAGGTTTATTTTTCAGATTGTGGAAATTTAAATACCCAAAAACAGTAAGAAAAAATATTATGTAATATTTTTCCTAAACTAGAAAAGCTTTGTTGGTGCATGAAGTGAAGACATCGTTCTTTTTCTATTTTAAATGAAAAACAAAAATAGCTTCAATTGAAGAAGTTTCATTTATATGGGATTTCCAAGAGGGTTTTTAGGGTCCCAACAGTTTAATTATATGGGTTAATTTATGTGTAATTGATACGTAAATAAGTCTCAACATTTCGTGTTATATGCTATTTTTGTAAAAAGAACATGTACCTGGTTTTTGTTACATTTTATACAGGCAGTAATGCATTCGATATCTGATAGTGAATGAAACTGTTCAAGATATCACAGTAAGCTTATCCAAATATTTTGGTAATATGGCACAAAGTTACTGAAATATAGTTCACTATTTTACAACCAATTTACGACTGCAATGCCAAAGGCAGTTCTTTGTTAATTTTTGGACCCTAAATGCGAAAATGATAGTAAAAATTTCCTTCTTCCTTTCCTTCTTCCACGTAAGATTTTTAAGTTGATTTTTTTCACAAAAATTTAATGAACACATTCCAAATTTGCTTTTCCCCTAAATTGAGGAAATTGTTCAAAATCTGGCAACATAGCGGCTCTGCCCGGTACTCGAATCTGCTTCCGCTGTGTATGAGATTTGTAACGCCGCTTCTTCAACTTCCGATTCTCGAAGTTTCCAGAAAATACCATAAATACGGAACCGCTATAAAAGTAGCAGGTTGACAATTGGATCATCAATATTGGTTTAACGCGAGTAGTGGTGAATTAGTATTAGAGAAGCGAAGTGAGCAAACACGCGAATATTAATAGTATTATATTAGTGTTATCTTTGTGAATAAAATAAGTTGACTCCTGTAAACGCACTATCACATATTTGAACTCGACGTATGCAACAGTACAAAAATGTCCAAAGTACAGAAATGTGGCTGCGTTAATCCCGCAGATAGTTTTTGCTATATATGTAGTCAGTTTACTCCTAAATCGTAGAAACGGCCAATTAATCGAATGGGCTCCTCACGTATATTGCCAAACCTGTGCAGCAAATTTAAGTAACTGGTATAGTAATTGTATATCCGGATATTCCTTCTGCAAGAAGGTCGGTTCTTCATAGAGAAGGCTTACTAGTTCCAACACCCCCGGCAAATTGGGAGGAAGATTTGGAAATGTATAATGACCAGGCAGGTTCCCATGATGCGCCAGAAAAAGACGGTCCTTATTTTCCCGAGAGTGAAGGAAGAGCACTCCATTTAATCGAACAACCTGAATTAAATTACCTAGTTCGGGACCTCCACTTGTCCAAAGAGAATGCTGAACTATTAGGGTCTAGATTACAACAATGGAATTTACTAGCCTCTAAAACCAAAGTTACAATATTTAGGAACCGTAACCATGAGCTATCCTCGTTTTTTTACTATGCAGGATAAAATGTGTGTTTGTGTAAATCCAAATGGTGTGATGGAAAAATTAGGATTTATACATAACCCGGACGAAGGGCGTTTATTTATAGATTTGTCTAAAACAAGTTATTAATTATATGTGTAATTGATATGTAAATAAGTCTCAACATTTCGTGTTATATGCCATTTTTGTAAAAAAAACATGTAACTGGTTTTTGTTACATTTTATACAGGCAGTAATACATTCGATATCTGATAGTGAATGAAACTGTTCAAGATATCACAGTAAGTTCGGGACCTCCACTTGTCCAAAGAGAATGCTGAACTATTAGGGTCTAGATTACAACAATGGAATTTACTAGCTTCTAAAACCAAAGTTACAATATTTAGGAACCGTAACCATGAGCTATCCTCGTTTTTTTTACTATGCAGGATAAAATGTGTGTTTGTGTAAATCCAAATGGTGTGATGGAAAAATTAGGATTTATACATAACCCGGACGAATGGCTTTTATTTATAGATTTGTCTAAAACAAGTTTAAAAGCCGTTCTGCCCCATAATGGTAACAAAAGACCCTCTATTCCTCTTGCACATGCAGTTGCCATGAAGGAAACACACAAAAGTATGTCACTTATTCTAAATGCAATAAGTTATAATACGTAAAAGTGGCAAATATGTGGTGACCTGAAAGTCACCACATATTTGTCAGGTCTTCAAGGCGGATTTATGAAGTTTTGCTGTTTTCTTTGCCTTTGGAACAATAGGGCAACGCAGAGCCATTATCAAGTAAAAGAATAGCCTCCGAGAGATAAATATATTCTAGGTCAAGCTAACGTGAAGAATATACCTCTTGTTAATCCCAAAAACGTTTTGTTACCTACCTTACACATTAAATTGGGGTTAATGAAAAGTTTTGTAAAAGCGTTAGACAAGAAGGTGATGCGTTTAAAAATCTTAAACACGTTTTTCCAAAACTAAGTGATGCAAAGCTCAAAGAAGGTATATTTGTTGGACCACAAATTAGAAAACTACTAAATGATCAACAGTTCAATCAAAAGAATTATTTGGGACTTTTTAGGGAACAAGAAAGTAGAAAATTACGAAACACTTGTAGAAGAACTACTTGAAAACTACTGTAGAATGGGATGTTGTATGTCTCAAAATCCATTTCTTGGACCCCCATTTAAATTTTTTACCAGAAAATTTGGGTGCTGTCAGTGACGAACAAGGGGAAAGGTTCCACCAAGAAGTACTGACAATGTAGCAACGTTACCAATGCAGATGGGATGCAGCAATGTTGGAGGATTATTGTTAGTTCCTTATGAGGGAAAACGATAAAACATATAAACGAAAGTCAACTTTTCCGAAAAGGTGATGCACAAAAGACTTCATTTGAATGTTTTTTCATGTGTATTGTAAATAAAGTCTGCTATTCTCAAAATATATTGTTTCTGTTTTGATCTTATATTTCCCTATATGTGAAAATTTTTGTATAAAATAAAAATAACTATAATTTAAAATCTTTACGTGATGGAAAATTTTTGATTATGAAGTCACAGTTAGGATGCTTTAAACTCTCATGTATAGCCATCATTTGTTGGCTAGTGTATTTTTGAAATGAATATTTGTGTTCCTGCAACTAGATGTTGTTGCAGGAAAGTATGTGAATGAAAAGTTATAATAATAAGTAGTTCAGGCGATCATGCCCTCTAAGGTATACAATATTACTTATGCTACAGCATATAGCACTGATACAACTTTTAGAATATTGAAAGTAAGTAGAAACTGCTTTAATTCTAATGCATCGCATGTACAATTTAGTGTATTTTCTGATGATTTTCTTTGTGACCAATATTCTACAAAAGTAGCAGAATTACACACAAATTTTATTTGTTATGCATTTGAATATGTGAAAAGAGAAAAAAACAACTTTTGAAAAAAATCAAACATCTAATTGAATTGGCCGATACTTGATGAAAATCCATAACGTATTTAAACAACACTTCATTGTGAGAATTTCACTGAGTAGTTTATGAAACCCTTCACATGTTTTGCTATAGAATAGCTTGCGGAAGCTATTGTAGAGCGGTTGCGGTTTTGTAAACTGTTCAGTGAAAATCTCATAATGAAGTGTTATTTAAATGAATCAAATATCAACATAGCACATTACCATATAATAAATACATAACCATACTTCTTGATCAACATTTTGTGGTGTTGTTAATGAATGATAGCTTTATTACTCAATATTTTTCATCCAATTGTTTCATTTTACTGACCAACTTTAAAGAAGTTACCAGCTACCACTTATCCGTGGTAGCCAGAGTACCCTAACAAACTGAACAATTTGTTTTATACAATTGCCAATTCATAATGTCTGCTGCAGTAGCAGACCTAATGACAGGTATAAAAACTGCAGACCACGGCTGATAAATCCGGGAAATTAAATTTGTTTTAAGGAATAAATGACCACTTTTGTAAAAGTTAAATATCGTTCATTCTAGTTACTTGACCCAAGAAAAAAATATAGTTTTTATTATTTTGTCACCACATTTCTCAAATAAATATTAAATACACAATTCATTTATATTTACACTTTCAATAATTAATATTAACAAAATAAATCTATGAATAGAAAAATGAATAAAGTTGAAAATTCTAGGATCCAGAAGTTCAGATGTTTTCATAATTTTCAATTGAATTTTATATATATATTTCATTTTCGAAAGTCTTGTCCATTTTTAGAATATGCTAGTTTAATATGCTCTTTGACATTGTAGCACAGACTTAATATTAGAAATAATTTTCATACCAGAATGCGACGTGTTATCCTCATCTAAATGGTCTAAAGGTTCTTCTTTTGGTTTAATGAGAGTATCATGAATACGTTCAGTCTTGACTTGACAAGGTGGTTGAGGTGTTGTAGAAGTTGGAAATTGAACTGAATCATTTTCAAGGTGGAGTTTTTTGGTTGGAGGTCCTTGACTCAATGTAGGAGACTAAAAAAATATTCAGAATGAATTTATCAAAGTCAAACATAAATTAATTTATGATTGGAGGAAATTGAAAACAATGTTGAAAAAAATATTTATTAGAATAGAATAGAACTTTATTCGTCACTGAAGTTATTACAAAAAGGAGTACAGAATGTATAACTTATTGGACTCGTCACAAAATATGATATAAATTTAGTATTTAGTGTACATATAAAAATCAGCACGTGAAGAAGTATAAAAAACAAAATACAGACATAAATATACCTAATTACAACATATTAGTTCATGTCTCCAGAAATTTCTCTAACGAGTAGAATGCCCTGGATTTTAAATACTTGTACAGGGAGTTTTTGAATATTCTCAGATCGGCAAGATCAATTTTGCTATTGAACAAATCTGTAAATCTATTATAGCAGAGATTACCTTTATATATGTGCGAGTTTTGCCCAATGGTTAATCTTGAGTATGGTTGATGTTTGTTACCACATTTTCTTGTATAGTATTTGTGTAAACTGCTATTTTTAAGAATGGAATTCTCTTGTGTTTTAATATTCAGAGTAATTTGAAATATATATAGTGAATACACTGTGAGAATACCTATCTTTGGAAAAAATTAATTTACAAGATGTATTAGGCTTGACTCCAATCATACTTCTGATGATTTTTTTTTGGATTATAAATATCTGATTTAGGTAGCTTTAGGTACCGCAAAACATTAGGCCATAACTGAGTGTTGATTGAACCAATCCATAGTATGCCAATTTCAGAGTTTCAGTTGATACAGTATTTTTCAGTTGTTTTATTACAAAACAGATTTTACTCAGCTTGATGGTTGTTTCGTTTATATGATTTTTCCATGTCATTTTATTATCCAATAAAACTCCCAGAAAGCGAGCAACATCAATCTGCTCAATGCTACTATGATTTACTCTTATTGATAAACTAGAATTCCTATTCAGATTTTTCGTTAGAAACTGCATGAAGCATGTTTTTTCCAAATTCACCACTAGACCTTTGTAAGTACACCAGTTATAGAATTAATTCGCTACAGTATTGGCTCTAAGTACCATATCACATATTGCTACTATGGGTTGTTTTCAATGAAAAACGATTAATATTCCATTTAATCAACTTTCAAAATCTGATATCGAATAAATTCAATTATTTTCCAAGGTATATTATACAAATTGAAATATAAAATACAAAACTCAGCATCCTCCCACCGGTAAAGAGGTTTCTTCTCTATCTCAAATATCTGCTTCAATCTGTAGTTGTCACAATTGTATGTATTATATGTATTCTTTGCAGTCTTCTCATCGACAGAAATCCTGCCGAGTTTCTTGGAATATTTGCATCAATCATTAGCATAACACCTTCAATTTTCAACTATGTTAGGATACCAGTCCACTTGTTTCTTCAATTCAAAAATGGAAGGTGCTCTTTTACCCACCTCTTCCAAAATGAGTCGGGTGAATTCGAGACTTTCTCCACTCAAGCCTTATATATTTTCCTGCCTTTAAGATACCAGGAGGTACCTCAGAATGTGCATAACCAACTAAGTTATTAGATGTTTGCACTTCAAAATCAAAACAGATCTACAGAAACATGAGCGAGTGGCATAGAATTCCATATGAGATAGCCAAACCTTTTTTTACAGTTTTGATGGGTTTGTCCCCCGTTCCTCCGATGAGAGAATTAGGCCTGTTTTATTTGATAGGTAAATATTTATTTATTGTTATTTTTATTATTGACATGTCTAATATCATAATGATCTGAAAGATGAATAAATACAACAACAACCGTAAGACGAATTTTCTAACAATTTCAAGATTAATTGTATGTACAGCAAGACATCTTGTTATTTTAAGTCGTCGAACAGTGACAAGTATATGGCCACTAAATCCGAACTGAGTGTTAATCAGAGGTAGTCGATTAATTTTTGATGGTGGTAAAGACCTTGAGTTAAGATATTGAACAGCATACATTCTACTGGCTAATAAACATATTCTGTCACATTCTCCCAAAATGTATATCATATTTATCATTTCTTTGGTAGACGATTTCATTTTGAGGACAAAAAATAGTAAGTCTAATATCATAATGATCTGAAAGATGAATAAATACAACAACAACCGTACGACGAATTTTCTAACAATTTTAAGATTAATTGTATGTACAGCAAGACATCTTGTTATTTCAAGTCGTCGAACAGTGACAAGTATATGGCCACTAAATCCGAGCTGAGTGTTAATCAGAGGTAGTTGATTAATTTTTGATGGTGTTGGGATACTGTAGGTAGTTTTGCACTTTTGGTAACAACTGCTGCATATTATGTCAATTCACCATACCATTACTTTTAGGTGTGGACTCGTCAGAAAACAAAACATATTTAAAAATAAATATTCGGTTGTTAGAAAATTGAACTCAATAAATTTTGGCAGTACCAAACTCTGGTATCATACTCCGTTTCATAGAATTCAATTCAGTATGGATGAACTTTATTTTTTATCAACATTCTGTTCACGGAAGTATGACTTATATCCAACTCTCTTGCAATTTCATTGTCAACTGTTGAAAGCATAACTGCTAATTAATTTTCTTCATTTGTAGCAATTTTATTTACTACTTGCCTTTTCTTATGCTTGACACTGCCTGTTTCCTCAAATCTTCCTTCAACTCTCCAAAAACTCTCTGATGGTATAGACCTTGAGTTAAGATATTGAACAGCATACATTCTACAGGCTAATAAACATATTCTGTCACATTCTCCCAAAATGTATATCATATTTATCATTTCTTTGGTAGACGATTTCATTTTGAGGACAAAAAATAGTAGATTTCGATTAATAATTCAACCTGTTCAATAAATCAATGTCAAGTTAGTTTGTTGACAATTCCTATAACATTCAAATGTTACAAGGGTTGTTTAATATAACTGAAATGATCTACATTCCAAGTAGATGTTACATAAGCTACTCTCAGCCAGTACAAAAGAGAGTATTTCCAGACACTGGACGGATATTTCTTCACATTGCAATATTTCACAATCTTCATTCTTAAAATTAATCGACTTTTTATATGACACAACAGTTTTCAGTTTTGACAAAAAAAAATTTGAACAAGTTCTAGGCATGCCAATGGGTAGCCCAGTCTCTCCTATTATCGCACAATATGTGATGGATGATCTCATTGATGATTGTTTGAACAAAATTCAATATAAAAGAACTTAAAAAAAATATGCAATGATATTATATTAAGTGTCCCTCAGGACAAATTGCAGCAATTGTTACTAGTTTTCAAGTCCTATCATGAAAAATTACAGTTCACCATTGAAGAAGAAGACATTAATCGCAGCGTTCCCTTCTTAGATACGAAAGTTATTAGAAGAGAGGAAAACAAATTAATCACTAGCTGGTATACCAAACCTAGTGCTTCAGGAAGGTTCTTACACTATGAATCTTACCACCAACAAAGACAAAAAATAAATATAGTGCTAGGAATGAAAAACAGGTTAATTAAAACAAGTCACATTACGCAATGACAATCTCAAAAAACTTTTTCAACTTTTCATTAACAGTGGTTACCCAAAAAAACTCTTACATAAATTAATCTTCAATAGGTCATCTATAGATATTGATCTCCTAACAATAAAGATAATTCTAATAATCAATCAATTCAACAGAATCTTTACCTTACATTACCTCACATTCAATCATTGAATCATAAATTTAAAAACATTTTTTCTAAAATTCCAATTTTAATCGAGGGAAAAGTTTATTGGAAACGTTACATATCTGATACGTAAAATTCATGAGTGTGTATTGGAGGAGTTAATAACCCTTTATTCAAGTTGTGTACATCAGTCCGAAATGTAATTTTATTATATAGATAAGTCAGAATATTATCGTAGATAACCTTATGATAGATACATGCTGAGTGTAGCGAACTTCAGTTTTCCATATTGAGCCAACAAGTCTCTGACAGCTTTGATGAGATTCTGTTCCTTTTACGTACCCCATGAATAAAGCGAAGGCAGGAGTTTTGAATCTTTTGGAGTCTTTTCTTATTCCTAATTGTGAGGCTTGGTCCATAGAGTACTTGTGCACAGTTCAAAGATGAAAGAACGAGACTGTCACATAGAGTAATTCTTGTGTTTTTACGGAGGAATTTTCGATTTCCGTAAATCACCTTGAGTGAGAGGTAAGTTTTCTGGATTAGTTTATTCACACTGGGAATCAAATCGGAGATCACTGTCCATAATCACCACAATATTTTTTGCTTCCTTCACAATTTTCAATCCATTGGAGCCTATACTAATGAGCTGTTGTTTTACAATAACTCTGCTTTTTTGGACCAAATATTAGTACGTTCGACTTAGATGTATTATTAATGAAGCACATATTTTCAGCAAGGGATGAAAATGTGTCAAGATCATGACTGATCCGCCTATTAGCGTCATTTACCCTGTGTGGTTCAAAAGGATAATAGGTTTGGGTGTCATCGGCATAGAGATGTACACTGCAATACTGAAGGCATTTCATTAATTGACTGGTATATATCGTAAATAGGAGAGGGCCTAGAATTGATCCCTGTGGAACGCCTGTTTTTAAATTCAAAGGTGTAGAATGTACTTCATCAACTTCCTGACATCTGCTGTGTAGATAGTTTTGAAAAAAAAGAACTGAATCATCTGACAAGCCAATGTAGTGCAAGATCGACAATAACAACTCATGATTGAGGGAGAAGTAGACAGCCAAAACCTTTGTTTCCCAAAAATTAATCTCTCCTAAAAATATACCCATTTTAATTCATCCGAGAACATCAAATCTTCATTATCCGTTTGAGGCTTTCGTTTGTTTTTTTTTGAAAGAACACCATTTTTACCGTATTGTGATTCAGTTTGAGTTTTTCCAGATACTTTTCAGTAAATAACCTGCATGTCTGGTCGATAATTTGATTACATTCACCATAGATCATAATCAAATCTCAAAAATCTTCATTTGTTTAAACTAAACGGGACATTTT